TTTTTAGTATTGTGACCTCTCCAATTCTTTTTTATTTGAATAAAAATAGTTAATTTAATTTAAAGGTCCAATATGAGAATGACTTTTGACCATTTGAATCTGATAACCATCGTTTTACTTTTGCATTTATGACTAACTTTAATCATTTATTTTTATCTCACCGAATATCAATTTTTAGAAAATAAATATACCACGAGTTTCTACTCAAAAAGTAATTTTTTCCTACATAATTTAATTCAACTCGAATTAAATATACTTAGCCATAAAATATTTAGTCAAAACCGAGTCAAACCAAGTTTTATAACTGATTTTTCCAACAATGTGTTGTTTTGTTGGCGTTTGTTGTTTTGTTGTGTTGTATTGATGTTTGTTGTAGTTTTGTGGTGTTTTATTGTTTTACTTGTTTATTCTTCTCTTGTAGGAGTTATATTATCCTTTTTTTTGGGATTCGTTTAGTTTGTTTAGTCGCTTGACTTGTGGGTGTGTTAGGATATATAGTTTCTAGACACCCACCGCATTGTAGTTTCCCTAGAGTCAAGTAGATGGTTGTTTGACTAATTCTACTTGTTTTTTAATTGTATGTATGTATGTTGTATCTATAAAATATATCGAAAAAAGGTATAGTTATAGTAAATTTTAATTGTAGGTAACAATATTTAAGTTAATAAATAGTGAAGGGCAAATCACGCAAAACAAAGAAAACTTCAACTTATAACTCATCGACCTATGACGAGTTTCAATTTGACATCCTTGCTTATATAAATAATCATGTATATTTACTTTAATATAAAATTAAATTATATATCAATAATAACTGAAAACTAATAAAATTATTATTGTAGTTATTTTATCAGAATTAAATCAAAATATTAAATTTTCGGGTCGTACTGCAAAGAAGGTTAGCCGAATTAAATTTTGTACGTTTATTCGATCACAAAAAGTAAAAAATAAATTCTAAACACTCTAATTCGATTGATTATGGTTTCAGTTAGCAACTAATGATATATAAGCAACGCAAATAGATAAATACTAGGTCTTCAAACGAGTTTCTTGTTGGGATGAGAAGGCTAGGGAATCAATGATAATTAATCTCAAATCAAACACAAATACAAGCAGAGATCGTTCGGTTGAATGATTCAATCAACCT